CCAAGTCCCGTTCGCGACTCGAGATGGAGGCCCCCTCGCCCTCGGCCGGCGGGCCAGCCCGAAGGACCGCTCAGGTTCTCCCCGGGAGCCGCCCGAGGTCCGTCGGTAGGACTGGGCGCTGGGAACCGTGGCTCTATATCACGACGTGTGTGTGTGCGTGTGTGTCAGGGGGGGGGGGGAGATCATGTTTAGTTACTGCAGACCGACCCGCCCTGGCAGAAACACTGGTGGCCTTTTTAATTTAGCTTTGGCATGCCGCGTACCCTTAATTTCAGCCTCTCGGCAGATGACGTGGCGACTCGAACCAGCGACTTCCGTGTGTATCACACGGTGGAAAGAAATAGACTGGTGTAGAGGCTCGAGTCCTTGCGGCTATCTAGGATAGGACAAGAGGAACAAGTCGAATTCTGCAAGGAAAGAGTTTCGAGCGCCTAACGTGTCCTTTTTCGCCCACAGTGCCCGCCCCACTCCACCTCAGTCTCTCTCAAATGCAGAACGCGCACGTACTGGTTGATGAATAAGTTTAATCATCTAAAACACAATTTGATCGTACAATAGATAAGACACTGACGAAAAAAAGACGTCAAAACTGTTCACATTGTTCACAAGGGTTCGCAAAAATAAGCAGCGCCCGGTACATACAAAGAATGCCTCATGTGTGGACGCGGACAAGGTGAGCACGCAAATAACTAGAATTCGCAAACTTCTTGTCGCAGAGCGTACACTCAAAAGGCTTCTCGCCCGTGTGGGTCCAAAGATGGATTTTCAGAGAATCATCGCTTCCCAATTTCTTGCCGCAGACCGTGCATTCGAAGTGCTTCTCTCCAGTGTGAGTTCGATGGTGTGATTTCAGATGCCCACTTTGCGAAAATTTCTTTTCGCACAAGGTACACGCATATGGCTTCTCTCCGGTGTGCGTTCGGCCATGCTTCTGCAGACTTGAACTGTGCCGAAATGTTTTACTGCAGACTTTACACTGATGTGGTTTCTCTCCTGTGTGAGTACGGCTATGTGAACGCAAAGCTGACCTAACCGAAAATGTCTTGTTGCAGTCGGCACACTCGAATGGCTTCACTCCTGTGTGGGTCCGCAGATGATGACGCAAACTTATACTCGTTGCAAGTTTCTTATTGCACAGACAGCACTCAAATGGCTTCTCCCCAGTATGGCAGAGTTCATGAAGTTTCAATTGTCGAGAACGTGCAAATTTATTTTCGCACACTGTGCACTGGTGTGGCTTTTCTTCCGTGTGCATCGGCATATGTGAGTTCCGAGCACTACTCGTCGCAAATTTCTTTTCACACAAGTTACACTCAAAAGGCCTCTGGCCCGTGTGCGTTCTGAGATGTGTTCGAAGTGAAGACCTCACCGCAAACGTTCTGTCACACTCGGTGCACTCAAATGGCTTCTCTCCCGTGTGCTTTCTGAGATGTTCTCGAAGTGAAGAGCTCGCCGCAAACGTTTTGTCACACTCGGTGCACTCGAA